CAGGGTTTCCCCATGTTTGCCAGGCTGGTCTTGAACTCCTGACCTCAAGTCATCCACCGGCCTCTGCCTCCCAAAGTGCTGGGATTACAGGCGTGAGCCACTGAGCCTGGCCTTGGCTTACTGCAACCTCAACTTCCTGGAATCAAGCGATCCTCCAGCTAATTTTTAGATTTTTTTTAGATACCGGGTCTCACTGTGTTGCCCAGGCTGGCCTCAAATTCCTGGGCTCAAGCAATCCAACTGCCTTGGCCTTCCAAAGTGCTAGGATTACAGGCGTGAGCCACAGCACCCAGCCGCTGACTCCACTCTTAAATGCAGGATGTTCATTCATTATTTAGTCAACAAATATTTAGTGAGTTGCAGCTATATGCAGGCACTGCCGTAATAAGACAAAATCCTTGCTGTCTCCGAGCTTATGTGCTAGTGGAGAGACAGCATGTAAATAACTGAGATAATTTTGGATAGTAGTAGATACTAGGAGGGAAGTAAAGCATTGTAGTGGAATCTGGGATTGGGTGGCTGTGCAGGAAGACACCGTTCAGGCAAGACCTCCGAAGCTGACAGTGAGGCTGAGGCCTAATCAGTGAGGAGTTAGCTGTGCCATGCTCTTGGGGAAGAGTGTTGCAGACGGTGGAGAGGGCAGATACAGAGAAAGCATGGGGTGGGAGGATTCGGCATGTTTGAGGAGCCACAAGCAGGCAGTGTAGCTAGAGAGGGGAGTGAGAAGAGGTTCGAGGGATAATTACCGCCACAGTGTTGGAAGAAGTTTGAAGTGTATTGTAAGTGTAGTAGGAAGCCATTAATGGGCATTGAGCAGGGGAATGATGGAATCTGAATTCAGTTCTCAAAAGACCACTCTGTCCCCACCATCCTCTCAAGCGCTGAAGCTGTAGACCCGGAAGACCCCTGTCCTGTCAGTCGTAAACTCTCCAGTCTTCATTTGAAAGATCTTTTGAATCCATGTGCTTTTCACCACCCTGCCCGGATCCTGTAGTCAGGACCTCCGTCATCTCTTGCCAGTGGTACAGCAGTGGCCCCTGAGCTGACCTCTCCCCCTTTCATTCTTGCAGGCACATGCACCACTTTCTTGCTCTGCAGTGGTGTTTTCTGCCTGTCGATGTTCTGTCCTTTCACAGGTCAAGGTTAAAAGTCACCTCCTCTGTGAAATCTTTACTGACTCCACCCCAGTCCCCTATAACTGCTTTTTTGAACTGCCTCTCTGGAGGCTTGGCCTCCACCCCTAGCCAGGTGCTTTGTGCTCGTGCCCAGACAGCATTGAGGCCAGGACCTGGCCACTGGCCCTGTGAGTTCTCCTTAAACTGGATCAGTCTCTCCAGCACCCAGGTCCTGTAGGGCCATGGTTCTTAGAACGCAGACAGGTCTGGGGTTCCTATGTGTGGCATATTGGGGTGCATCTGGGATTTGTTGTTGTTTTTTAATGCCCATGTTTTTTTTAAAAAGGAACTTTTATTTTCTGGCATACACCATGCTTCTATTCCAGTTTCTACCCTTGCACATTCTGTTTCTTCGTTATTTTCTCAGGGAAGCCTTTCCTGAACTCCCCCACCCACACTGGTGTCATGTCCGCCCACCTTTTTTTTTTTTTTAACTTTCTTATTGAGGTATAACTTATGTACCAAACGGTGCACGAATCTCAGGTATACAGCTGAAAGAATTTTTGCATATCACACACTCATGTAACCACCACCCAGACAGAGGCTAGAAAGCATTGCCAACACACACAGGACCCCCTTGTGCCCTCCCAGTCAGTTCTACCACAGATTCCACCCTGCTGTGGACCTCTAGCCGTAGATCAGTTTTGCCTTTTCTTGGACTTCGTGTAAACAGAGTGCTGTGTTATGTACTCTGTGTAAGATTTCCTTCATTCACCCTTATGTCTGTGAAAGCCTATGTTGTGTGTATCAGAAGTTACACTCCAAAAAAAAAAAGAAGTTACACTCTTTTTCATTATTATGGACTATTTCAATGTATAACTATACCACACTTATTCATTGTACTGTTGGACATTTGGATTCTTTATAGTTGTTTTTATCAATTTTATTGAATTATAGTTTATATACAATAAAATGTACACATTTTAAGAGTACAGTTCAATGAGTTTTGGCAAATGTTATTTCCCAGGGGTGAGGGCAAAGAGGGCTCCAAAAGTGAAGCTGCTGAGGCATAGAGTATAGTGCCAAACTGTTTTCTCCAATGGTAGAAACAGTCCGGGCGCGGTGGCTCACGCCTGTAATTCCGGCACTTTGGGAGGCTGAGTCAGGCAGATCACTTGAGGTTGGGAGTTCGAGACCAGCCTGGCCAACATGATGAAACCTCGTGTCTGCTAAAAATACAAAAATTAGCCAGGCATGCTGGCATGCACCTATAGTCCTAGCTACACAGGAGGCTGAGGCAGGAGAATTGCTTGAACCCGGGAGGTGGAGGTTGCAGTGAGCCAAGATTGTGCCACTGTACTCCAGCCTGAGCGACAGAGTGAGACTCTGTTTACAAATAAATAAATAAATGGTAGAAACAGTTCATCCCTCCCACCAGCAGTGAATGAGAGCCCTGGTTGTCCCTTGCCCTCACCTGCATCGGTGTTGCTGTCGTTTGAGTTACAGCTGTCCTGGTGGGATGCCGAGGTATTCCATTGTGCTGTCAGTTTGCAGTTGCCCTTGTCTGTGCTTCCCCAGCCCTCTGAATCACCTGAATGGCCATTCATCAACGAAACGTAATATTCACATGCTTCTGTGTGGTATGAAGTGTCCCCAGCATCTGTCTTAACTGGCTGAAAGATCCCCTAAGCTCTGTCCCTTCCCTGTCCTTTTCCTCACAGGTGGTTTTTCCCCATCATTGGCCACATGGGCATCTGCACATCCACAGGAGTCATTCGGGACTTCGCAGGCCCCTACTTTGTCTCGGTGAGTCCCCATTCTGCCCACCCTGGGGGGTCCAAGGTTTAAGTGGAAGGCTGTCCTGTCTTGCCTGCAGGCTTCCTGTCTCCCCAGACCCAGGAGAACACAGATAACCCGCAGTCCTGGCCCTGGCCCTGTACCCCTCACCAGTGTTTGACCCCTTTCCCCCTTCTCTTGCCTCCAGGACAGGCCGGGAGGGCAGTGTGGCCAGAAGGATTCTTAAGTAACTGACCCAGCCCTTTGCCCCCACCCCTGGGGTACCGAGACATGGGTAGGGATTAGAGGCAAGAGTGGAGAGTCAGACCATCCAGGAACCACATCTCTGGACCTTCAGAAGGTGGGAGTCAAGGTGGGGGGACAGGGGAGGCTGATACGGTTCCCTGGGTGTGGTCATGGAGAAGAGGGGGTGGGGCTTTAGAATGAACCAGCTGTGTTCTCAGGTCTGTTCCCTGGGGATGTGACCGAGACTGGTCCAGTGGGCCAGCAGCAGAGAAGCATGCATCATCCTATCTCCAGGTGTCAGAGACTGGACTGAAGGGGTGTGGTGGCACCAACCTATTTATATTAATAGTTGTCATGATCATCTTAACACGACAAAGGTCTGTCACTTTGTACTTAAAAATACTTTCACATTCATTACTTTGTCATATATTTTTATGGTGATTAATCATTGGCCAGGTCTGTCAGCAGGGTCTCCCTGATCTGAACCCAGAGTCTGTCTCTGTGTAACTCCTGTACCCCAGGTCTAATGTGATGAGTCTAGGACTTCACTGCAGAGTCTCCCTCACAGGAAGTCCCTCTGGGCCCAGGGCCTCCGCCCTGCTATGAATGCAGTCAGACTGCTGGGCGCGGAAATGGGCTCCATGTGGACCACCACTGCTGAGTCTGGAGGCCAGACCATGATGGAAACCTCCTGCTGGTCCTCAAAGATCAGAGAAGACTGACCAGAGAACTTGGAGAAAATGAGGCCCAGAGAGGGCAAGAGAATTCCTGGGTGCCACACGAAGGGACAGTGGCAGTTGGAGCCCTAGGTCTTTGATCTCTGATGCAGTGCTCTGTGCACTTGTGCCACACTGCCTTCTTCCTGCAGAACAGCCGCTAGCTCTTCAGATGCCATGCCAGCCCCAGGGCAGGACCCAGGCACCACTTCTGGCCGCCCCCCCCCGACATACCCCCTTCTAAGTCACTGCACTTCCACCACCTACCCAGGTTTGTCATCTGGCCCCAATGTAAGTTCCTTACTGACCTCTGCTTTTGTCCCTCAACAGGAGGACAATATGGCCTTTGGAAAGCCTGCCAAGTAAGTGATGAACACCCATGTGACTGGCTCTAGAGGCAGGTTGCTCCTGCCCCCAGGCGGGCCAGGCCTTCTGGGGCACAGCAGGGGACAGCACCCTGAGGATAGAGTTTTTGGGGTGGAGGGGGAGTCAGCCAGGGTCCACCAGAGCATGGCAGCCCCGTACGGAGTGCCTACTGCACCAGCCCCTGGCTAGGGCCTTTACCTGTAGACCATCTGGGCCTTACCACAGCTCTTCAGGTTTGTATGTTCAACTCCATGGCAAGGGTGAGGAAAGGGAAGGGACTTGGTCAGGGTCACAGAGGAAGTGGCAGAGCTGGGACCCACACCCAGATCTGTCTCCCTCGAGACTCACTCTCCCGCCCTTTGGGAACAAATGAGCTATGGAAGGTAGAAGAGAGGCATTGTTTGGAGCTCTGCTGGAAAGTTCTGGTTGGAGAGAATAAAAACTGTTCAGCCTTTTGGGAGCTATTGCTGGTTTGGTTTTGGGACATTTTGTCTTCATCTTTGCAGTCTTGGGTGCCCACCTCAGCTGCGGGCCTGGTGACAGTGCCTCAGTCATCAGTGTCCTCAGGTGACCTGTTGCCCAAGGCTGCACTGGGGGGAGGGACTGGGCCAAGGAGGAGTTGGTGTCCCACACAGCCGAGATGGCCTGGAGCAGGGCTTCCTGCTGCCTGCTCTGGCTTCCTCCGGCAGGCGGCAGTGTGGTCCAGGAGCCTCTGGGCCGCCAGGTATTCGCTGTCAGCTGCTCTTCAAGGACAGCTTTAAGGGCATCATTTTCCAAGCAGTAGCCCCTAAGCGGCCCCAGTCCAGGCCGTGGTCTCTAGACTCCTCCACCAAGCCATTCCCCTACACAACAGCCAGGGGGCACCCTGACCTCCTAGCTCTCCTTAGCCTGAGACCCATCGGGCACTCTGGTGCTTGGAGCCTCACCCACCTTGAGGTTTATGGGCTTTAGCACCATCAGCTTCCCTCCCACTCACCCTGGCAAGCTGCATGGGAGACGGGGAGAGTGCTTGCTGCCGGGTAAACTCCCCACATGATGTGGCCTCACCTGCATCTCCAGCCTTAGCTGCCAGCATTCCCTCACCGTGTTCCTCCTTCCGCATCCTCCAGGAGGGCTCAGTCACTTCAGTTATGGGACACACTGCACAATTTTATGCCTCTCACTTAGCTTAAGCTGTTCCCTCGGCCTGGAATGCCCACCTCTTCTTTCTTTGCCTGGCTAACCCTCTTCCTTCAGACTGGACCCAGGTGTCACCTCCAGGAAGCCGTCTCACACCCCATCTTAGTCCTTCTGGCTGCCATAACAAAATCTCATCGATTGGGTATCTTAGAAACAACAGAAATGTATTTCTCACAATTCTGAAGACTGGACAGTCCTGGGTGCAGGTGCTGGTAGAGTCAGTGTCTAGTGAGGACCTGAGGTGCCTTCCCACTGTGTCCCCCCGTGGTGGAGGGGTGAGGGGTCTCCCTCAGGGCTCTTTTATAAGGACATGGATCCCATTCATGAGAGCTAATCACCTCCCAAAGGCCCCACCTCCTCATACCATCACCTTGGGGGTTAAGATTTCAACATATGAATTTGGTGGGGACACAGACTCTCAGAGCATAGCACCCCTAACTTCATTCCATATCCCCCCAGGATCCCCCATGGCACCGGCCACCTCACCCTATGTCACAGTTGACTGCCACGTGACACCCCAGATCTGGTTCACTGCACACCTTGGCACCCAGCTCAGGCCCGGGCACAGGGCAGGCCTCAGACGACATGCGTAGAGCTGAGGGCACAAAGGAGCCAAGTCAGTTTCCAGAGCCCTTCTCTCCCACCAGGTACTGGAAGTTGGACCCTGCTCAGGTCTATGCTAGCGGGCCCAACGCGTGGGACACGGCTGTGCATGATGCCTCTGAGGAGTACAAGCACCGCATGGTAGGTGGGCCAGGGCGGCACCAGCACTCCCCAGGCTGGGACCAGGGGGGAGACTCCCTTGCAGCCTGTCCTGACCAGCCCTTCCGGTGCCTCCAGCACAATCTCTGCTGTGACAACTGCCACTCACACGTGGCATTGGCCCTGAATCTGATGCGCTACAACAACAGCACCAACTGGAATATGGTGACGCTCTGCTTCTTCTGCCTGCTCTATGGGAAGTACGTCAGGTGAGCTGCCCTCCTGCCCGCCCACCCACACACTGCGCAGAGGCTGCTCTCCCAAGGATCCTAGAAAGACCATTCCTGGCGAACTTCAGTCAGCCGGGACAGTTGGAACAGATGCCAGTAGGAGCCGTGGTGGTTCTAGAGTGACGAGCTGAGGGCCTGGTGGAGAGAGAGGTGGCTGTACTGGAGTCCAGCTCCACCTGGGCCCCAAATGCAGCTCTGGCACTTACCCGCTGTGAGACCATGGGCAACTGCCTTGGTCTCTCTGAGACACAGCTGTCCTTGGTGAAATGCAGACAATGATTCCAGCGCCTCAGGGAGGCTTCTACAGATACCTGTGCTCCGGTAGAGTGAGCAGATAGATCCTCTCAGAATGACTGCCCCCACAGGTCCCTTCCCAGGCAGAGAGGTTGAGTGAGTCGCCCATGGTCCCCACAGCATGGCCACAGCAGAGCCCAGACTCGTGAGCCAGCATAGGCTAGTGCTGATCTGGCCGCCTCTCCAAGCTTTCCTCTTAGCCATGTTCATCATTAAGAGCTTCTGAAAAGAAGACTTTTAGAGATACTTTTAAGTACTGCATGGCTTTTAGAAGTCCCGTGAGAATAACTGGTCACACAGAGGTTGAACTCAGGCCGCCGGCTCCCAGCTGCTTTGCTGCAGCCACAACACTGCTGACCCCTGCCAGCCCCAGACCTCCCAGCAGTCCCCATTATGAAGTCCGTGGGCAGAGGGCACATGTGGCTTCCATACCGAAGCTGCAATTCCTGGTCCTCTTGCTGGAGACCTCACCCCAGAGGTGGGTGGCTATAGATGGAGCCAGTGAAGCCTAGAAAGGGGGAGCATGTCTCCTGTTCCCAACCATTGAGGTGTCCGTAAGTCTCCACCAGGAGTGTGGAGCAGCCCCTGACCAGGACCATAGCTGGTGATCCCCCATAGTGAGCAACCAGGCCCACCCTGCTTCCTTGATTGACCAAGTTTGGGGTGAGGGGTTGGTTGTAGGGTTTTCCTTAGGGATGGCAGCACCATCGGAGTCTGTGGGTGCACAGGGCTGTGGGCCGCATACCTGCTCACCAGGCCCTGCCCACCTGTGCTCTCTTTCTCTCTGTCAGTGTTGGGGCCTTCGTGAAGACCTGGCTGCCGTTCATCCTTCTCCTGGGCATCATCCTCACCGTCAGCTTGGTCTTTAACCTCCGGTGATGGCTGCTCTGTGGCCCCGCACCCACCAGGGTCCCAAGGAAACAGCCGCCATCCCTTTTGGTCCCAGATTTTTTTCTCCTCACCCCAAAAGGCACGGTTGGGCCTGCTGTTGTGGACCGGGGATCGGGGCTGGCAGGATGGAAGGGCTGAGGACCAGCATGAGGCGGGAGTTTGTTGTCTCCCTGCCTCTCAGAAGCACCCTGTTCCCTCCTCCCCAGGCCTGTGACTCCGGCCCTGGAAGCCCCTTTGTTCTTCTGTTGAAAGGCCTTGTCTTCCCTCTGTAAAGCTGCTCCCGTCACTGCCTGCTGGGGTCCTGCCTCAGCCCAGCCCAGAACGGGGAGAGGAGGACATTTGGGCTCACCTGTCAAGGTGGCCTTGGGACCAGAGCTGGATTGGGAGCCTGTCCTGCATTAGCTCTGGTCCCAGCATGGGGTGGGGTATACTTAGTAGTCTCTATAAGCCAAGCTGCCCTAGGACCTTCACCAGTGGCCTCTAGAATGGTCCAGAGGGGCTGGCTGGTCCCTTTGTCAGACTTCTGCCGGCAACTGCCCTGGGGCACGTGTGTGCCCATCTGGCATCCTCCAGCCCATGCAGTCCTCTCTTCACTGTCCCACAGCCTCCCAGTGCCTCCCAGCATTGGACCCATCTACCCCTGCAGTTTGGGGCCAGAGAGGTGAGTGGACCTGACAAGTGCCAGAGTGACTGTGTAGACAGAGCAGTGTAGACAGCACTCAGCCCCAGCCCCAGGTGTGGACGTCACGCTGGTGATGGCTTCCCTGGGTGGCCTGCCAGCACAGCCAGTGCCATCAGGGAACTGAAGGGGCTGTCCACCGCCTAACTCCAGCTCCCCCTTTCTTCACATCACCAAGGCCGTGTGCCGCCCGCCTCACCCCTCTGCTCTGTGGATTCCTTTGGGAAGGGTTCCCGGGGCAGGACAGTAAAGACTTTTGACTCCAGTTGGTGCCCTGTCATTGTGTTCTCCCTCTCTGGGGCCCCCTCGCCCCTCAGCTCATAGCGTCTTGGTATTCTTGGGACCCTCTTACCCTTGACAAGGGTCTGGTTGCCAGCACCATAGTTGAGTCTGTGTCCAATGCCTGGAGCCATCAGCATCCCTCAGGTATATCCCGCCCCTGCAGTTTGGGAATTCCCTGCTATTCTACATTCCCCATTCCAAAGCTCTCCTCTTGAGGCAGGTGAGCATTGAAACCCTTTCCATTGTCCCTGTTGGGAAGGACTTGTAGGATTGGGGTTAGGGCTGAGTAGGGCCTCCACTGCTGTCCCCACCGCCCCCAGGGGTGCAGAGTTGGGGATGAGCTAAGAGCACTGCCAGCCTCTGGCCCCTGTATCCATCCAGCCCTCGCCTACCTCTGATCCTTTGCTCTCCACCGTCCCTCTCATGGCGGCCCTGCCTAACCAAGGCCCAGCTTAAAAGCTGCTTCCTCCCTGAAGCCTTTCCCAATCCTGTCCATGCATCACTTAAGTTGAACTAGCCAAGGATTTGGTCTCGAAGGTGACCTTGAGGACATGCTCTAGCAGCTGACCGTGGAGTCTCTGGTCAGGCATCTGCCAGCTCACCCCAGACCCTGCAGTGCTGTGGTCTCCAAGCCTGGGACTTCTCCAGGGCAAGGCAGAGGTGCCCTCTCCCCACTTCAGAGCAATTCCATTTACTTTTCTTTTTTCTCCTTTTTCTTTCTTTCTTTATTTTTTGGGAGACAGAATCTCACTCCGTTGCCCAAGCTGGAGTGCAGTGGTGCGTTCTCAGCTCACTGCAACGCCTGCCTCCTGAGTTCAAGTAATTCTCATGCCTCAGCTTCCCAAATAGCTGGGATTACAGGTGCCTGCCATACAAATATTAATTTGTATTTTTAGGAGAGGCAGGGTTTTACCATGTTGGCCAGGCTGATCTCAAACTCCTCAGGTGACCTGCCTGCCTCAGCCTCCCAAAGTGCTGAGATTATAGGCAGAAGCCATTATTTTCAGTAGAGACAGGGTTTCACCATGTTGGCCAGGCTGGTCTCAAACTCCTGACCTCGTGATCTGCCTGCTTCGGCCTCCCAAAGTGCTGGAATTACAGGTGTGAGTTACCGTGCCCGGCCTAAGTCCCTGTCTCTCAAAAAAAAAAAAAAAAGTCACCAACAGCGAGTGCTTACTCTGTGTTAGGCCTTGTGATGAAATATCGTCTTAGCCTCACAACAGCCCCACAACAAGGTAGATGCCACCATCCCATTTTACAGATGAAGAAGTAAGCAGAGAAGTGATTTGCTCCAGGTCACAGAGGTAGGAAAAGTGGAACCATGGTTCAAACCCAGCAGCTGGGCTCCAGCGCCCCCCACTCAGAGCCACCCTGTGCGATGGCCTCACTGGAGTACAGGAGTGAAAATGAGAGGTGCTGTGATGCAAAAGGAGAATGGCTGCGGAGGTGAAAAGCTCTCCTGGCGGCAGCAGGCCTGTGAGATGGCTATTGTCCCCGCTTCATAAAGGAAGAGAGTGAGGCTTACAGGGATTGTCACTGATCCCAGGCCACAAGGGAACCATGCAGCAGAGCCAGATTTTAACCCAGATCTGCTGGCCTCTAGGACCCTGCCTCTTAACGTCCCTCTTAACAGAGGGACGTTGCCTAGAGACTGGCTGCAGTGCAGGGGCACTGAACTCTGGAGGAGGCTGAGCGAGTCCTAGAGCTGGGGAAAAGTATTCCCACAGGGAGCACAGAAGGCCCAGGGGTGTTGAAGGACAGGAAATAGTCCGTAGCTAAGGCTCTACGGGTATAGGTGATGAAGGGGAGAAAGCCAGAGTAAGGACAGCAATCCTGAGGGTCAGGCTGAGGGCCAGGCTGTCCTGGGAAGTGGTGAGGCTTCCATCTCAGGACGTGTCTAAATGGGACTGGACTGGTTTGGAAATGTGTGAATGGGCCCGAGGGATGGCCTGGCTGTCTGCTGGCACTTTCCAAACCAGAGGATGACAAAAGTATGTTCGAAAGCTGTGCAACAAAGGGCCAGAGGGGCCTCATGTGGCCACAGGGAGGCAGGAGAAGAGGAGGCTTCCAGAAGAGGCTGAGCGGGGACTGAGACCTGGGCAGGGGGAGGACAGTGGAGACAGATGGGAGGGCACCTGGAGTGAAGTGTGGACAGCACCCGGAGGTGGCAGGAAGCAGCAGGAGGCCAGGGGCCAGGATGATGGGGGCTGGTGAGAGGTGGAAACTTGGAAATAGGTTTCAAGTGGGGAAGAGGCCAGAAGAATGCAGGTTGAAACACAGCAGGAGAGATGGCTGGAAGTATCAGCGTCAGGGAGTCACAGCTATAGGAAGGACAGGAGAACAGAGAAAGGAAGGGAAATTTAGAAACCCGAAGACCAGATAATGAAGTTTCATGCCTTCCAGGAGGGAGGGCTGCTGAGAGGTGAGAAGGGGGCAGAGAAACATCATTGCAGGCACCGGGACCAGGATGCTGTTGACCACTCTCCTTCCATTTTGAGGGCCTTAATGGAGGAGGCAGCATCACAGTAATGGTCCCATAGCACCTGCTCAATGGGTATTGCATGTGTGGGTGCATAAATGCATTAATCAAGAGTCTACTGGGGACTGGGCAAGGTGGCTCACTCCTGTAATCCTAGCACTTTGGAAGGCTGAGGCAAGTGGATCACCTGAGGCCAGGAGTTCAAGACCAGCCTGGCAACATGGTAAAACCCCATCTCTACTCAAAATACAAAAATTAGCCGGGCATGGTGGCGGGCACCTGTAGTTCCAGCTACTCGGGAGGCTGAGGCATGAGAATCACTTGAACCCAGGAGGTGGAGGCTGCAGTGAGCCAAGAACGTGCCACTGCACTCCAGCCTGGGCAACAGAGCGAGACTCCATCTCAAAACAACCAAACAAATAAATAAAGTCTTCAAGGATCTCACTGAATTTTAGTGAAAATCCTCTGAGGGGGGATTATTACCCCCATTTAACAGATGAGAAAAATAAGATTAACTTGCAAAAAATAAGTAGGGAAGCCTCAACTGTGGGCTGAGACGGAGGAGGGGCCCTGTGTCTCTCAGTGGTGATGGGAGCCAGTTCTGATGACGGGGAGGAAGAGTGGGTTTTTTGTTTGCTTTTCTGAGACGGAGTCTCGCTGTGTTGCCCAGGCTGGAGGGCAGTGGCAAGATCTCAGCTCACTACAACCGCCGCCTCCTGGGTTCCAGCGATTCTCCTGCCTCAGCCTCCCGAGTAGCTGGGACTGCAAGCACTCGCCACCATGCCCAGTTAATTTTTGTTATTTTGAGTAGAGATGGGGTTTCACCATGTTGGCCAGACTGGTCTCAAACTCCTGTCCTAGAGTGATCCGCCCACCTCGACCTCCCAAAGTACTGGGATTACAAGCATGAGTAACCGTGCCCAGACCGGTTTTGTTTATAAACCACCCCTTGCCCTACCTCTCCCAGGGGTCTATGAGGAGCCCTCTAATCTTTAATCCATGGCCCTAGGTTCAGGGGAGGAGGTCGGGCCAGGGCAGGCCATGGAAAGTGAAGTGGACTTGGGGGGAGTCAGAAAGCTTTGGTGTGGCCTCTTGTGCCCAAGACAACCCAGGAGGTTCAGGGTCCTGAAGCCAATGTAATCTAGGGCCTAAACCTTCTAATCTCAGGGTGAGCAGAAGCTGGGTGTAGAATGGGGTGCTCAGAGGGGCTCAGGGGTGTTCAGGGTGCCAGTGTGGGACCCTCACCTTGGCACTGGAAGATTTCAGGCCTCCTCAAACAGATGGGGCCCAGGACAGCAGAGGGGACAGAGAGGGCTGCTCTGCTGTGGCCAGCATGTCCCAGAGGTGCATGTGGATACAGAGGGCAGCAGCTGCTGAAATGGTCATGGGCATTGGACTATGCTGGAGTGGGGACACCTCACCCCGACTCTGCCAGCTCACACCGGGCACTTTCACTTCCCTTAGAATAGGCCCCTTGCACACTGCTACCCACAGTTTGCATCAGAAGAAATGGAAGAGACCTGCTTAAAGTCGCACACCCAGTGGCAGAGCAGGGACTCTGCGCAGGGTGGTCTAACTGGGGAGCTGGGGCCAAGCCCGGCCTCTCCAGTCAGCTGCGGGGGCGCACCCCGGGGCGCTGGGAGTCCAGGCCCGGTTTTGCATCAGGCCCTGCCGAGGTGTTTCCTCCTCCTCAGTGTGGGGCAGCTGCTGGCTGGGCTGCCTGTTGAGTCAGCCTTCTTCCCTCACGGCTCTTCTCCCAGTCCCTGAAACTCGGCTGCCAGGGGAGCTGGAGTCACCTGCGAAGGTGTCCTCCCATACTGGACCCCTACAGGTAACACATGTCGGTGCCAGGGTTCCCTGCCAGGGTCCAGAGACGCAGGCACTGCCACCTGGTATCCTGAGCACCCTCCAGCACCTTGGGGTTGGGGGAGGTGGGCGCATGTCTGGAACTGGAACAGCCGGACAGATGGACAGACCCTCCTCTTGACCAATGGGTCTGTCCCACAGTGTCAAAACAGCAGGGAAGACCAAACACTTGATTCTGCCTCTGGTAGGAGAGGGGACTTCAGGGAGGGGAACTGCTGAGAAGGCTGGGCTGATGCCCATGGCCCAGCTCAGGCAGGCCTGCAGGACAGAAATAGGCCCAGTTCTGCCAAATGTCCTCTCCCACCTCCATCCACACCCAGACACACATACCTGGTGGCCCCCAAGGCACCAGGGGACACCCCACAGCACACAGCCCAGTCACACGTACAGCACAGGAGGAAACGCACAATGCATACTGCACATACCCCACATGGCGCTGTCACCTAGAACGTCACTGAACACACCGCACAGACAATATAGTCACCATGCAGCATCACACTGCAGCAGGACACAAAGACACACTCACACAGCAACTACACGGCTCACAGACCCACGCTACGCAGACATGCCCACCAGACTCGGACCAGGGCACAGAGAGGGACATGGGTTCACACGCCAATCCACGGGGGAGCCCGAACTGTGCGTTTGCAAGACCCACACCTTGGACATAGAAGTTCAGGGAAACTGCTGTTGTGGAGCACACAGGTATCCACAGAGCGAATGCACACCGTGCAGCCATGCCGAGGCCTTCAGCTCCTGAGGGTGTCAGGAGGGATCGCTGGGACTCGGCCACTGACTCAGCTGGGAGGGGACAGAACATAGCAGGCGGTGGACACAAGCCAGGACCTGCCTGCCAAGCTGCCTCCACCGGTCCCGGCCCCACCTGGAGCCCTGGCATGGAAGGGGCGGGGAAGAGAGGAGAGGCCGCCCAGTGGGCTCAGGACACAGGCCTGACCAAGTCATGGGCCCCTTGCCACGTCTACATGCCCCTCAGCGCTGGGCAAATGTTTTCTTTCCGGAGTCACTGTGGTACCTGAGCATGGGCTGCTGTGCCAGCTTAGGCCTCCACCGCCGGGACCTCACCCTGGTCTTGGGAGAACCGTGTGGCCAGAGCAGAGGGGCCCGGTGGCTCCAGGCAAGAGGGCAGGGCTGGCGGCGGGGGCATCCCTGGGTTGGAGGCCTCGGTGGGAGTGTGTGCGGCAGTTACCTCAGGGGAGGAAGTTGGGGGTGTGGGCTGAGGAGGAGGTTGCCTCAGACAGGAAGGCCAAGTGGGCCAGGGCAGGGTGGAGGTGAAGGGTGGCGGGAGGGGACCCAGGCTGTGAGGTTCCTGGCCCAGGGGAGTGAGCATGTGTGTGTGTGTGTGCGCGTGCGTGTGTGTGTGTATGCGTGTGTGTGTCTGTCTAGGTGGGTGGTTGTATGTGTGCATTCCCATGTATGTGCAGGTATATTTCTGCATTTAATTAATCAAAATTTTACCAACCATCTGTTGTGTGCAAAGTACTGGCTTTGAGGGTCACTCCCTCTCCCTGCCTCCAAGGAGCTCACAACTCAGATAGCTGGACAATGTGTGTGTGCCAGAGTCTGTGTGATTTTTATGTACATCTTTATTGAGGGACACATTTGTCCCCAGACTTGTTCTTGTCTAGGTGAACCCATCCGGGTGGGCCCATCCCTGTTGGTGTGCATATGCTGTGTGCAGGTTTTTTTGCTTGTTTTTGTTTTGAGACAGAGTCTCACTCTGTTGCCCAGGCTGGAGTGCAGTGGTGCCATTGCAGCTCACTGCAACCTCCACCTCTCGGGTTCAAGAGATTCTCCTGCCTCAGCTTCCCAAGTAGCTGGAATTACAGGCATGTGCCACCAAACCCAGCTAATTTTTCTTTTCTTTTTTTTTTTGTTTTGGAGACGGAGTTTCGCTCTTTTTGCCCAGGCTAGAGTGCAATGGTGTGATCTTGGCTCACCGTAACCTCTGCCACCCAGGTTCAAGCAATTCTCCCACCTCAGCTTCCCGAGTAGCTGGGATTACAGGTATGCACCGCCACGCCCAGCTAATTTTATATTTTTAGTAGAGATGGGGTTTGTCCATGTTGGTCAGGCTGATCTCAAACTCCTGACCTCAGGTGATCCACCCGCCTCGGCCTCCCAAAGTGCTGGGATTACAGGGGTGAACCACTGTACCCGGCCAAAATTTTTGTATTTTTAGTAGAGATGGGGTTTCACCATGTTGGCCAGGCTGGTCTCAAACTCCTGACCTCAGGTGATCGGCCCACCTTGGCCTCCCAAAGTGTTGGGATTACAGGTGTGAGCTACCACGCCTGGCCACTGTGTGCAGATTTAAGAACATGTGTAGGGCTGGGCGTGGTGGCTCACACCTGTAATCCCAGCACCTTGGGAGGCCGAGGCGGGCGGATCACGAGATCAGGAGTTCCAGGCCAGCCTGGTCAACATGGTCAAACCCCGTCTCTACTAAAAATACAAAAATTAGCTGGGCATGATGGTGTGTGCCTATAATCCCAGCTACTCAGGAGGCTGAGGCAGAATTGTTTGAACCCATTGGGTGGAGGGTGCAGTGAGATGAGATCGCGCCACTGTACTCCAGCCTGGGCAAAAGAGCAAAGCTCCTTCTCAAAAAAAAAAAAAAAAAAAAAAAGAATGTGTGTGCATGTCTCTCGTGGGCACGGGTCCGGGTCTGTGTCTGTAGAGGGCCCTTTCTGGGGGAACAGCTGTACATGCGCCTGTCTTTATGCAGGTGTCTATGTGCATGTGCGGCCATATCTATGCCTATGTGGATCCGCGTGTGCACGTGTGTCTGTGTGTTCCATCGCTGCAGTTCGGTGTGGCCCTACCTCAGGGCGTGTGCATGTGTGTCTCTTGCGTCTTCCACTGTGTCCCTGAGTGCGTTCAAGGGCCAGTGTATGCATGTGTGCATGAGTGCCTGGCACCCCACCTTGAGCTCAGCCATCCTGGGGTGGCACCCTACCCATACCTGGCCAAGTGTTTGGGGAGAAAAGGGCTGTTGGTTCCAGGATGTGCCAAGCATTTGTGCAGGGCTTGACCTGACCCTTGGTCTGCCCCCAGGAAGCTACGTGTGCCCAGCTGGGGCACAGCCCCAGCTGATGCCCCAGAGGGGCCACCCATCTCAAGAGGGGCTTTGGGGTCTGCCCTCCCTCCCCATGGCGCATGGGCCAAAGCCTGAGACTGAAGGACTATTGGACCTCAGCTTCCTGACAGAGGAGGAGCAGGAGGCCATTGCTGGTGTCCTCCAACGAGATGCCCGCCTGCGCCAGCTGGAGGAAGGGCGGGTCAGGTAAGGCAGGGCAGACCCTGGCCAGGGAGCATTGAGAGGCTTGAGTGGCCCCCACCCTGCTCCCTACTGACACCACTGCCGTCAGATGTCTGCGTGGTTCTTGGTTTCGCCCTTTAGTCTCCTCTGGCCTTGGCCAGCTCACAGCTCATCACTTCTCCAGGGGTGACTGTACCAGCTTTCTCGCCAGCCTCTCTGCCTCCAGGCTTGCCTCTTGGGCCCACCTCCTGCAGCTGATGCTCCCCAGATCTGTCCTTTTTTAATTTTAATTTTTTTTTTTTTTTGAGATAGAGTTTCATTTTTTCGCCCAGGCTGGAGTGACGTAGCACAATCTTGGCTCACTGCAACCTCCGCCCCTCCGTGTTCAAGCAATTCTCCTGCCACAGTCTCCCAAGTAGCTGGGATTATAGGTACATACCACCACGCCCAGCTAATTTTTTGTATTTTCAGTAGAGATGAGGTTTCACTATGTTGGCCAGGCTGGTCTCAAACCCCTGACCTCAGATGATCCACCTGCCTCGGCCTCCCAAAGTGCTGGGATTACAGATATGAGCCACCGTGCCTGGCCAGATCTGTCCTTAATGTCCCCGCTGAAACTTCCCCTGGCTCCCCAGTGTCAAGGACAAGCTCCTAGGCATGGTCCACTGGGCCTCCCTGGTCGGTCCTTGCCAGCCCCCACCATCTCCTCTTCCACCATAACCCCCACCCAACACACAGACACAAAGTGACCCCTCCAGTCACTCAGGTGCTCCCCAGTCCCTGAACCCACACTTCACTTCTATGCCTATGCTGGTACTGGAAGAGCACGGTGGTAGAAGAGCATGGGTGTTACAAGCAATGTTTGGGGACAGATACTTCCTAGCTTTGTAGCCTTGGCAACTCACCTGACCTCCTTGAGCACCACGCTCCTTGCCTATAAAATGGGGCTAAGGAGTCCTACTTCACTGATTTAAGAGGAATTGGCCAGGGATAGTGGCGACTCCTGTAATCCCAGCACTTTGAGAGGCTGAGACGGGAGGATTGCTTGAGCCCAGGAATTCAAGACCAGCCTGGACAACACGGTGAGACCCTATTTCTACAAAATATAAAAAAATTAGCCTGGCGTGGTGGTATGTGCCTGTAGTCCCAGCTATTTAGGCAGCTGAGGTGAGGGGATTGCTTGAACCCAGGAGGTCAGGCTGCAATGAGCCATGATCATGCCACTGCACTCCAGCCAGGGCAATAGAGCAAGACCCTGTCTCAAAAAATAATAATAAAATAAAAAGTGTAATAACTATTATCCTTCTCTACCTGGAGAATTCCAATTTGTCTTTTAAGAAGAAATTCAAGACTGGGCACAGTGGTTTACAACATTTTGGGAGGCTGAGGCAGGTGGATCGCTCGAGTCCAGGAGTTAAAGACTAGCCTGGGCAACATTGAAAAGCCCCGTCTCTACAAAACAAAATACAAAAAATTAGCTGAGCAAGGTGGCATACGCCTGTAGTCCCAGCTACTCGGGAGGCTGAAGTGGGAGGATCACTTGAGCCTGGGAGGTGAAGTTTGCAGTGAGCTGAGATTGCGCCGCAGCACTCCAGCCTGGGCATAGAGGGAGACCCCATCTCAAAATAATTAAGTAAATAAATAAATAAAGGCAATTCAAATGTCACCTCCTCTGGGAAGCCCTCCCAGATTCTCCCAGGCAGAGCTGGCTCTTCTTATTTCTGTCACATCATCCGGTTCACTATAGTGTACTTGTCTCTTCTGGACTCGGTCTCCCCAGCAGCCCGAGCTCCTCCACAGCACAGATCAAGTCTGATTTGCTGTTGGGTCCCTGGCCCCTGGTCCCAAGCCTGGTACCATGTGGGTGGTGGAATGTTGCTTGAGTGAGTCATGACAGCCACACCCTCCCGCTTCCTCCAGCAAGCTCCGGGCCTCACTGGCAGACCCTGGGCAGCTGAAGATCCTGACAGGGGACTGGTTCCAGGAAGCACGCTCCCAGCGGCACCACAATGCCCACTTCGGCTCTGACCTTGTCCGAGCCTCTATGCGCAGGAAGAAGAGCGCCAGGGGTGAGAGATCTTCGGGGCAGGGCAAGCCATGTGCCGTCCAGGGCGCTGTCTGTATGTGGACAGGGAGAGAGGACCACTGGGGCTCCAGTCCTGGCTGCCCTTGGTACTGTGTGTCTTTGAGTGGGCAATGCCCCTCTGTGGGCGTGGGGCGGGTGGGCATCTCCCAGGGCCTCTCTCGAGTCACAGCCAGGCTTCCTGAGCATGGGGGCTCACAGAACTTCTCACCTGCGGCCAGGAGACCAGGCTCCAGGCAGCGACGGGGAGGCTGAGGCTGCTGTGAAAGAGAAGGAAGAGGGGCCAGAACCCAGGTGAGGAGGGGTCTCGGGAAGAGGGAGATGGTGCCCACCAGTAACCAGGGTCCCTCCCTCTGAGAGCATCCTCTCCCTACTCCTAGGCTCACCATTGATGAGGCCCCTCAGGAGAGGCTCAGGGAGACTGAGGTAAGAGTGAATGAACCAGCAAGTCAGTACAGTGTCCCTGGAGGGAAGGTGGAATGTGGGGGGGGGCAGGGGGGAAAAGAGCCCCAGCCTGGGAATGGGGAGACCCTGGACATGTCCCTTCCGGTGTCTGCACCTCATCATCTCCTGGGTGGAACAGTGGTGAACAGTGATATGGATCCAGCCTCTAAGGGAACTTCTGAATCTGGCTATTAAGGGGTGAAGTGGGGCCAGGCGCAGTGGCTCATGCCTGTAATCCCAGCATTTTGGGAGGCTGATGCAGGAGGATCGCTTGAGCTGAGGAGTTCAAGGCCAGCCTGGGCAACATAGCAAAATGCCCCCCATCTCTATAAAAAATAAAAATAAAAATAAAAAAGGGCCGGGTGCGGTG